TGAGGTTTTATGTGATAATGTAGCACAAATTGATACATGAAGACGATGATTCGTAACGACACAAACGTGTTCGCTTCTCCGGAATCACAATGTACTTGAAGAACCTTTCAAAGTGGTCGGACATGATCTCGAACAAAGCTAATGACAAAGGACACACACATACAAATGTTGGGGGCGGAAGATGAACAATAATGAAACAAGAAAACATCGGCAACCTATAAAAAGTATAATAATACGACAATAATTTTTCTAATTAATATTAAAAATAATTTTATTATTGTTATAAATATAAATATAAATTATTTTTTTATACATACAATATGGATATCAAATCGAAGCTCATCAAAAGAAGATTAATTTAATATATTGCATATGTAAAACTGATAAAAATTACAAAAGTTATTAACTTTTAAAATATATACAATTCAATAGTTATAATAAGGAATGATATTAAAATGCAATTAATACATGTAACATGACCATAAATAATCAACATATTTATGGTAATCCGAACCTAATTATTTTTGGTTTGAAATTAAATTAAAATTTACCCAAGCCTAATAACGAAGCATGTAATTTTGCCACATTAGATTTCGAAGCACCAGAAACAGCCACGTAGGCTCAGCTCGTTCTGGATTAATATATAGGGGCACGTCCTTCTCTCGTAGTAAGAGTGCACTCAACCGGTATAAGGTGGGTATATTGATGGGCCAAAGTGTCTGGAAGCTTCTGCGGTGGACATAACACAAACGCAAATGAGGTTTTATGTGATAATGTAGCACAAATTGATACATGAAGACGATGATTCGTAACGACACAAACGTGTTCGCTTCTCCGGAATCACAATGTACTTGAAGAACCTTTCAAAGTGGTCGGACATGATCTCGAACAAAGCTAATGACAAAGGACACACACATACAAATATTGGGGGCGGAAGATGAACAATAATGAAACAAGAAAACATCGGCAACCTATAAAAAGTATAATAATACGACAATAATTTTTCTAATTAATATTAAAAATAATTTTATTATTGTTATAAATATAAATATAAATTATTTTTTTATACATACAATATGGATATCAAATCGAAGCTCATCAAAAGAAGATTAATTTAATATATTGCATATGTAAAACTGATAAAAATTACAAAAGTTATTAACTTTTAAAATATATACAATTCAATAGTTATAATAAGGAATGATATTAAAATGCAATTAATACATGTAACATGACCATAAATAATCAACATATTTATGGTAATCCGAACCTAATTATTTTTGGTTTGAAATTAAATTAAAATTTACCCAAGCCTAATAACGAAGCATGTAATTTTGCCACATAGGATTTCGAAGCACCAGAAACAGCCAAGTAGGCTCAGCTAGACATGGCCACGGGTCAACGGGCCCGCCGACCCGGCCGGGACCCGGCACGGACCCGGCCCGGACCCGGCCCGGTCAAACCCGTTGACCACGGGTCCGGGCCCAGCTCGGATTTCATAAGGGCCAATCCCGGGTCGGGATTTTTTCGACCCCGACCCGTTGGGCCGGGCCGGGTCAGGGCCGACACAACATAAATGTATAGTTTTTGAATTTTTCTTTTTCTTTTCTTTTTTTTATTAGGACGGGTCAAGACCCGGGCCGGGCCCGGCCCGGCCCTCCGGGTCATGGACACGGCACAGACCTAAGTCGTGCCGGTTCAGGGTCCGCCATAACGACCCGGCCCGGATTTTGGCCATGTCTAGGCTCAGCGCGTTCTGGATTAATATATAGGGGCGATTGCAGTTATTATAAAAATTATGACATATTTTAAGTTGGGATTGGATATATAGATTATCTTTAAAAATTTGGTATTTAGAATGATGAAAAGAGTGAAAAAAAAATTGAGTGAAAGATTGAATTATTTTTAATTTTGTAATAGATATGAAATAAATTATAATAATTAAAGTTGATGTCTGATAAAAATATTAAAAAATGTATAATTTAATCAAATGATTGTAGTTAAAGTCGAGTTTTAACGAGTCTGAGTGCACAAACGACTCGTTCCATTTAACACCTCAATCATCTCATTTTATTTAATGAACAACGCTTGTCGATATTGATGTGCTAGCTATTTGTACACATAGTAATCTATTTAACTAAACAAAACTAAAAAAAATAAATAAATAAAACATGAAGCAAAATAGAAGATTTGGTCCCGTTGCGAATTTCTTAGCAATAAATAGTTTGATTGAGTATAGTATTATTGGAAATAAATTTTGATTGGTGAAAAAACATTAACAGAAGAATTTAAGAAATATTTCAAATTTATACACTCGTGACATAAACAATAATAACTAGTTATAATGTATGAAAAAAATGTTAATATAATTGTTATTAATCATAATTGTATAGTACTTATGTATGATTTTTAATTTAAAAATTATATTGGAAAATGTGAGTGTAGAAAATACCATAATTTATTCTGTCCCTTTCTTAATGATGTGGATGTAATTAAAAATTAGTACTATAAAAATTTATTTAATTGACATTAAATTATATTAAAATCATATGATCTAATTATATTATAGGTTTGGTACATCCCAACTAACTAGTCAACATTCAACCTTTCTTACTCAATAATTTAAGGAATCTCACTACTATTTTTATAAAACTTGGAGTGGCAAATCAAATCAGAATATATCAAATTAACTGTACAATAAATTCTGTTTTTCCCCCATACAATTTTGCAATCTAAAGAAAATAAAAGATGCTATAATCAAAATCACAAGCCACCTATTTTTCATACATATCTTGAATATGTTCTATTATATTCCTTTGAAAATTACAGTAAGTGGTTGCAAATTGTTAAGCCAATTGATAGCATCCAAAAAGTTGGTTAGCTTTTTAAAGTGTGGTCATAAGTTGTTTAAGATTCATCTAATCTTTAAAGTTTGATTCTTTATATGTTGTGAGATTGGGTTGGATAAGATCAAGGTTAACATAATTAGGCAAATTTGCCAATTTTAGCTTGCTTCATTTTATACACTTTATCCTACACACAATGAGTTAATAGATAATTAATATAGCTATTGTATTAGAATTTAACATATATTAGAATTCCTCGGTGGATACTGTGGGAGCAGCCTTCGCCGAGATGGGTTAAGATTAATTCTGACGGTTCGTATAATGGTGCGTCGGGTATGGGATGTGCTGGGGGCCTTGTCCGTGACGATCAAGGACGTTGGCTAGTCGGGTTCACGATGAAAATAGGCTTATGTTCTATCATGGCCGCGGAATTATGGGGGCTATTTAGGGGTCTTAGTATGGCATAGGAGTTGGGATTTCGTCGAGTGGTGGCAGAAGTTGACAATGCAAGTGTTGTGGGTTTTTCTGAGATTTTAGACGATGTCCTGGGCGTGCACGCGGGCCTAGTGTTGGGGATCAAGGAACTTTTGGGAAGATCTTGGATGGTCAAGGTGGCACATGTTTACCGCGAAGCGAATTTTGCAGCCGACCACTTGGCTTCCTTCGCTGAGGACGGAGCGATGGGGTATCAGTTCTTCACTACTCCACCCGATGGGGTTCGACCGTGGCTTCATCACGATATTCTGGGCTTCGCGAAACGTTTGTGACTTGAGCCGTTAGGCTTGAACTCCTTTTTTTGTACCAAAAAAAAAAAAATTATAAAATTTTTGACATGTAACTCGTAGAGACAACTCAGTGTCGCTACTTGACTTATGGATATATCTTAGCATGGTCACCATCACTCGCGTTTTATCAATTGGCGATCTTTTAATTAAATATTCACTACTGTTCATTGTATCTTAATATGTCGTCATATCAATTCGTGAACATATTAACTCGCGTATAGCGTGAGTCGGCCAGCGAAAATTTGAAAAATTATAAATAATTGTCACATGATATAACATAGATACAAAACAGAATCATGTTACACTACAAGGTTAATTTACAGACTGAGTTATTAAAAACACTCATAACAAATATTATTACGCATCGCATTATAAGATTACAAAAATGACAATCTAAATTTTGTCGATACATAATTTGATAAACTAGTTGGTGAATAATTCTAAGAAAATAAAAAACTGTTAAAAGCAAAACTGCATACTTGTTGTATATAGAAGGTTGACTCCACTATAGAATCGCTGTTGAGTTCGTAGCAAAACTGCACGATCGAAAATGTACTAGTATAGTAGTCTTAATTTTATTAAATAAAATAAAGAAATCTCTTCACTTCCTAAAATGGCCCTTTTTGTCTAACGAATAATTCACAAACACATACATCCATAGACCATTCACGTGCCTCGCCCTGCTTTCCCCTAAAATTTTCAATCCTTTTTTCCCCTTTTTTTCCCCTTTCGAATTCGCTTTTTAATTCTGGGGTTTCTGTTTGTTTGTGGGTAAAAAAGATTCTCGGCGGTTACGTTTTCTTGACGGTGGGCGCAGTATATATTAGCGTGGAGAGGGTTCTGTTTTGTTCGACCCACACAAACAATTTCATTCTCAAGATTTTCGAAATTAAGAAAAAACAAGGTTAAAATTGATAAGAAGAGAGATTTGGAGAGATAAAAATGGAGGGCCGAAAGAAGAAATCACTTGTGACTGAGCTTTTCGGGGAGAAAGATTCTCCGACAGCTGGTTCTTCGTCTTCTGGGATTTTCGGCTCCATTTTTGGGGCTCCTCCGAATAAGGTAATAAAGGCGGCGGCTTTATCCTTTTCTGTTGCTTTTCGTCTGTTTTTTCGTGACGAAT